GAGGATCCGAACCATCAACCCAGCCTAGCCGTCCCAACTCGAAGTCTGCGTCGCTATCCACCACACCATCCGCCGCTGCCAGCATCCCAACCGTGGACAGCTGATATGAAACTTCCCCGCACTTTTCATCATGTTTCAACATGTGGCTGACAACATCCATTATTTTCAATACGCAGTCAACTGGCGCCTTCTACTGTACGGACAGTCGACGCCATGAATGAAACAAACGACGTTTAGTGGGTTGCGGCGATTTCTGACAAAATCATTTTCACTCGTTTTTTGGCATTCAGAAGGCCGTTTAGCGGAAATGGACCATAGTTCTATACTCAACGCTCATGCCCCTATACCATGCAAAAAAATAATTTCAAAAAGCGTCCCACGCCATGGAAGACCTTCCTTGTTAGGGTCCTGTCACGAGAATATGAACCGTTTTGTACCCCTCGTTTTTCGAACTTCTCGAAATGCTTTTGGTACAAGGAAGGATGAAGGAGAACTTTCCGCGTTGAAATAGGGAGTTTCCCGGAGTGATCATTACTCCTGTATCAGGCAGAGGCATTCTGCTTCATATAGGAACATTGATCGTTGTTGAAAGCCGAAATGAGAAGTAAATATCAGAAATGTCATATCTTTGAAATGCCAAAATACAGAATACCAGAAAATGTCATCAAAACTTTTACTGGAAAGAAAGCACTTTTCAAAAGCTGACACTACGGCGTGGTGCAAACCGACATTGTCCGCCTGAAGAAGGAGAGTACTGCAACTGCGATACTCGGCGACATTCAATGCCGTTGCAGAGCAAAGCGCATTTAAGTTAGCATTATCTCTCCAGGCTTTGAGTTAGTAGGATTTGACAAACTCTGTCCATATCCCCAGGTCTCCATTCAAAGTTCCATGGAAAGTCAAAACCCTTTCCTAGTGAGTACAGGACGGACGCCGTGTGAGTTGCTGTAATAGATACGGTTTGGGTAGGAGTACAGGATAGATAAATATGAATCAACGTAAGGTGTGTCTCAGGCTCGACGGTTAGAGATTCGTGACGGCAATAACGACGAGATGCTCAACGAAACAACAACAACAGCATTATATGCAGTCGACGGACCCGCGGAGCCGCCGTGAGGTTCGGATATCCGCCGTTTGATGGATCTGCAGTCGTCTTAGTAGATCCCTTCTCTAGTTACGTTTTCTTCTCTTGTGTTCTTCTTTTCCCGCCTTCTTCTTTCTTCTCTTTTTTCCGTTCCTGACTTCTATTCCTCTACCCTCGTGAACCCCTTATAGGACTCCCTGTTCATTACCAACGTAACCATTCGATCACCTGTTATGAAGAGATACCCCTTCCCGCTCAACTGAGCTGATGGCATCGTAAAGGCTCAGATAGAACTCGTCCTTTTCGTACTCGGGGCAGCCTACTTGCGGCGCAAATACGAATATTATTGTCCAGCACCCCGCTTCTGTTTCATCTTCACCGCCATGATCAAACCGCCGAACCTGCTGACAGTGGAGACAATTCCGGATTCCACCACTGCTATGGCAGCACCATTTCGCTTGGTGTCTTCTCCGTTGAAGAAGAGCCTGACACTGTCTGTGGTTTGTGTCGGCTTTGCTCATTTTCACAGTTCTCCTGGACGCACAGGTCATGGATGTTTCTGCGCTTCATAAGATCGACATTCTCTCACGACTTCCCGATAAGCGACGAAATACTCACAGCCCCAATCCAAACTAACTTTCATGGCCGAGATCCCTTACTCTTCGGTAGCCCTCTGTCCACAAAACTCGGGCGGCCGCCACTTCCGCGTGAAGCCCTAGTTTTCATAATCACTCTTTTAGAGACTTTATGCATATATGCTAAGCCTGGGCTGGGAGCAGACATGAGCAGAGACTTTAACAACTCGACTATCCCTCGGCGGAATGAATGATGCGCTACAATGTGTAAATACCCCGTGAATTCGAAGGCGCCGAGGCTGATTTGCTGATATCATGCTCGATCGATGTCATTATTCGAATTCTTGTTCTCAAATCTACTCGGAATCGCAAAGAGCGGGTCGAACGAAAAGAAAAACGTCGAGACTGATGGGCTCTAGGCCGCCTTCGGAGGTCATCCGTGAAGTGGACCAGTGAAATGTGGAGCCCGTTACCCATACACCAAGAGGAAGGGGCTTTTTACCGGGTCAAGAGAGCGGTATCGGTGATCGATGGTTGATTAAAAGACACTAAGTTATTCCTATCTCGCGTTTTCTGGAAGCATAAATTAGACGTCGAGGGTTCCTGGTTGTTTGGTAATGATCATGGCCAAAAAAATATAACAACTTCTCGCTGACATTGTGGATTCATTAGATTGTTGCTCTAAATATTTTCGTAGGTATCCAAGAGCTGTTCCATGGTGAATCTTTGGCTACAAGTGCACCAGTGAAGCCGCTTATGTTCCCGTTCAACAAAAGCTCGTCGCACAGGGATTAATCCCGAGCCCAATTGGACATTTGAAGTGAGGTTTTTGCTGCTAGCTGTGTCTGTGGATGCTAATCACAAATTAGTTTTCTGAATTTGCCGGACGACTTTTCGAACGGATTTCCTAGAACACAAGAAAACTACTAATCCTAAATTTAATAACGTAGCCCTAATATTCTGTTAATGACATTACTTCGTCCAACCATCTTTGGAGCTTTATTATAGTGAAAATGCGCGTGGAAAAGTCAGGTTGCTTTTGTGACCTGGGGGCAGGCGGCGAGCCAAAGCGGTAGTTAACGAAAAGCAGGTCCGGTCCCCTACTCCGTACACATGCTCATTATGCAATACTTCACTGCCTCGAACATTTTGTATTGGAATATTACACATCTCTTTATTTCCACAAAGTGAGAAAAGTTATGCTCTCGTGACTATAGAGCATATGGACGTACAAAAGAATTGAATTTGTACTGATTGGCTTAGGTAGGAGTAAAACACCTCAAACATCAAAATTTTCGTACAATGCAATAATATCAACACGAAAGTAATATCTGCGCCTCAAGGAAAAAGTACTGTAAAATGGAGAATCCTTACTAACACAAAACCATTGCTGGTTTCACACTTATGAGTCGTCATATCACCCCTGCTCCAAGCCACCGCTGAGCTTATAGTCACATCCTTTTTCTCTCGCTTGTGATGGGTGCTCATCTAAAATCACCTTCATAGCTCCGTTTGGAGATTCGGCCAGCAAATTCTGAAAGCGGTTCGGGGTCAGCATCCGAAAACACGCCTAGCAGTATATGCATTATACCAAATGGAAAACTCGACTTGGGTTCCTTCCTCGGTAAGGCAACCTGATTTGCGACGGAATTATAAGCGGCGCCCTTGATGGGTCTGTCGATGACCACAGGCAGGAACCCTTGACGCCTAAGTGCTCCAAAGAAAACAAGGAGATAGAACCAGTACCTTTCAACCAACCAGCAATGACCGATACCGCTCTCCGTGGCCGGTAGAGAGACCGCGTTCCTCTATGTGTACGAGAATTGAGTTCCTCTCACACACCAGTTTTTACCGGTTTACTTAACGAATGACCTCCGAGGCCGACCTTACCAGTCTCGACCCTTTCTGTTTCAATTGCTGATCGCTTTCGAGCCGATCTGAAAAATAATAATCTGCATTTAACACCTGTCGTCCTTTTGAAGTAACCTAACTTGACCAGCTAAACTCACGATCCTCAACTTGTATAATACACAATGAGGAAAACATCTATGGCAATTCTCGCCATCCTCCAACTTTAGCCTAGACTGATCAAAAGGATACAAAAGTCAGTTCACAATGGTGTGATCCTGACATCTAAACAAAATTTCTACCCTGACTGAGTCATCTCTTAAAACTAATTCATGGTGTTCACATTATATAGGGTTCAACTCGAACTGTTATTAACACTGGTCGCTTTCTGTGATTTAAAGGCACAGTTCACGATAGTTTAGGGTTATCCAGATTATGACGAAAATGAAAGAGAAGGTGGACAATAGTGCGATGGAGACGAAGAATGCACACCCATTGGTGCTTACAAAGTGATGAAAGGCTTTAAAAAAAGTCGTTATGAAAGGGGTGGACGAGAATGAGACCAGAAAAATGAAGTACGAAGGGTGTTTGGACGAGCCACACAATGTGTGTCATTGCGTTGCGTGGGTCCTGGTGCGAATAGCTTACTACAGTAAGCAAAAATGTCCTGTAACTACACTTTAATCACTCGCATAACGTACAAAAACACGATTAATAGCAAAAGTGACACCATCGTAAGGTAGAAAACTAAAAAAAATGAAAGAATCCAGACTATGATGAAAAATGCAAAAAAAAAATGAAAGAATGAATGAGAAGGTGGAGAATAGTGTCAAGGAGACGAAGAAAGCACACTGATCGGTGTTTACAAAGTGATAGAAGGCTTTGAAAAAGTCGTTATAAAAGGGGTGGACGAGACTAAGGCCCGAAAAATGAAGTAGAAAGGGTGTTTGGACGAGCTACGCAGTGGGTGTCACTGCGTTGTGTGGGTCCTGGTGCGAATAGCTTACTCCAGTAAGTAAAAATGTCCAGTGACTACACTTGAAATCACTTGCATAACTTAAAACAACACGATTAACAGTGGCTCAACCCTGTGAAGCAGAAAACTAAAAAAAATAAACGCAGCAGCAAAAATAATAACAGTATAGAAGTAAGACACCAAAATATCCCCTCACCACTCGGCGATCAGCTGATTGCATGCTGAGTGTGCGGGTCCCGGTGCGAATATCGCAAACTGTATCGCCTTGTCGCTCGTCTGACATATCATCGGTCGATGGGCGTAGACGTCGACGAATCGGGGCTCATATTATGTCCTATCTATTGGGTGTTTCGTCCCGACAGCGTCGTGTGTGATACTCTTGGGGGCCACTGGGTAATTCTGGGAGGAAATCATAGGAACCATTCTTATCGCAAACTGTGCCTTTAACATTCTTTACCTCTCATGCCACGGAAAGATCGCTATGCCGGACAGCAACTGCCTTCAACAAGCAAAATACTCACTTTGCGAATGCTTTTTCAAGAAGAGCTGACCAAAACTCGTTTGAAGTTTTCGATCTGGCAAAAAGTAGTTTACCTCCTCTGAACATAACACTACACTCACAAGAATAAGTGGACGATAACATCAAGGATGAATTGGGAAGGTCTCACCTTGTAGGCAAGAGGTCGTCAATTACAACCTCAATCCATATGCCGAATCTCCAAAATCGAAATCTGAACACGCCTGCATACTCCTTCTCAGAGTGCCACTCTTGCGATTCTGCGTCAGGTATGACCTAAACAGCAAAAGTTTTAAAAATTTCTAACGCTCGATACTATTATACATAGTGAACGAAATTTCTTCAGTCATACCCTATTTAGTAAATGTTGATTGTGTGTCAAGGCCGAGCAAGCGGAAACGAACCAACAGTTACCGAGAACGCCCTGCGTGACATCATTTGGGGAGGCCCCCTCCACGAATAGGTGAGGGTCATTGTGGATTTCCTGAAAGTTGGTAACGGTATGCTCGCTGTTATAGAAATCACAAAGGAAAAGTATGACCTCAAGAACTGATATCCTGTAGATGATAATCAAAGGGCGATGGGTGTTCAAGGCTGCTAAGGAAGGGAATCAATTACTATCTATTTTCTAGACGAGGCGTTCTCATGCTGTACATTTACAACGTGCTTCAAGACCCTGCTAATCTTTTTGTGCAACCCTTATCGATTGCACCATGAACTGATACACTGCTATTACTTATTAGAAAAAGTGAAGCTCGACCTAACAAGGGAAGGATACTAGGTCGCAGTGGCCATGAGTGAGATGTATACCGACGTAAGTTCTTCTACACGCTAACTGGATCCCAAATCTGCGAAACGATTCTGAGAACAAAGTTATGGGCCCCCTCTCCCTCGGGTGTCATGCCACTTTTCTGCCTTTAAATGCGACCCAAACAGTACCGGAACGTGCACAGATGGCCGAGTTAGAACGATGGACTGGTAGGCGCGACACGGAGTTTCGAGTCCTCTATGCATTAGCTTGTTTTGCCTTTTTATAAAAAGTGTCTTGAACGCTTGCAAAACATATTTACGCATCATATATACTACTTACAGCCCTCCTTCATATTGACGGAACGCCAGCAATGCTTATACACAGAACGAATACGGGTGCAAAGTCCAGCAGGGAAGAGCTGCGAAAGCTTTGCTCAAAATATTATTGCAAAGTTTTGAGCAAGAGATTTTGAGCAATTTTGCAATAATATTTTGAGCAAGATCTGGAGTATTCGACAAAAACTCACGATCAAAACATTCAATCGATCAAAGTGCTCCCAACATATTATCAGCAACATGTTCTGACCAAAAGTGGTCATACTCCATTTGTTGAAGGAATTTGGCTCCTGCGACATAACTCAAACACCATCCAAGAATGAAAAGAAGGTAATAGAGAGTTCCCCATCTATACCTCACGATGCTATGCACGACAATCTCGTCATTGACTTGAGGAAGACGAGGCCGGGGAAGAAGATCAAAATGATTCTCTGTGGTCTCCTGACGAGAGTGACATCGGTGACGGACCCAGTGCCTCCCGAGGGGGAACTTATTACCTTTTTGGAGATGCGGAGTTATCAAAGGAGAAGGTAACCTTTAACTTTAGAATTTTATCCATGACCTCAAATTGTATGCTTCAGGTGGATGAGGCGATTGCCTTCTATCGCTCAAGTACTATGAAAGCCGCACACTTTCGTGCATGAAGAGCAAATTCCGTTCCATCACGACGGAATACCACCTGAGGAAGTTAAGAGAAATTGAGCGAGATCGTAAGCTTTCAGATAAGTCTTTTTCGACCACTTATGATGCCTTACATTGTTGTAAATATTAGGTGCAAAGCGAGCAGATCCAGTTGTCGGGCTACGCAGATTGGCCCATTTCTTGAAAGAAGAGGTTATCGCGAAGGTGAGTATGGCAATCTCATTGCATGACAGCGATACCCACCGCGTGGCGCTCAGAATTAACAAGGAAGGCTCCATAGTGAAGAGCTTCCAGGCCAACCATAGGTGGATCCAATGCTTCAAGTCGAGCTGTGGTATTGTGTCTCGCCGCATCACCACGTTCACCTCGAGGAAAGGGTTTCCTGACAAAGATGGCATTTCTCGAGAAGCTCAAGCATTTGTTTTGGAGGTGAGAAAAGGTGAATATTCTCATGACATACAGAATTCAAGCGTGCAGTCGCTAACAGCCTGACAGTCGTTGACAGCCTAACAGCTACATTGATGAGCTTGAAAATTCTAGAAATGGAGAATCGGCCATTGGAAACAACATGCAATGCTGATCAAAGCGGTTTCGTGAAGGAGTTGCACTCGGCCAGAACCCTAGCTGTAAGGGGACAGAAGAAAGTGGAAAGGGTTGTACAGTCTGTTTCGGCAACATCTCACTCTTTCACTGGTATGCCAACCCTATGTGCCGATGGTCATTTAGAAAAAACTCCGTGTTATATTACAGGTTGGTGTTTTCGAGAGAAAATATGTATAAATAAACTCACATATTTAAAACGGTTGCTCTAACAGGAACCTAACGGACGTTTTCCGGCTAAAGGTTGTTTTTGCGCTTCGAACTTGGAGATCAGGGCCAGTACAACCTACATGCTGAGCAAAGAACTTATGCTGGATTGTGTTAGATCATGCGTTGGATCGACAGATTTGCCTTCAACCCTACTGATCGTCGACTCATGGAGCTCGCTCAGGGACCATGAGGCGATTCAGAGTGCTTTGCAAACTGGCAAGGGGGTGAAAGTGCTCAACATTTCACCTGGGGCAACCTACCCAAATTCAGCCTCTCGATGTATATTTTTTCTTACCATTCAAAGCTATGTATAAGCGTATTGTCTCTTTCGTAATTGCTCATGAACTGGACTTCCACATTAGCAATCGCAACTCCATAATAGCCTTATCTCACTACAGTGTGTTTCAAAAGTATGTACACACCCAACATTTTGTTTTTTTGGAAGTACCATTGCTTTATGTAACCTGTGACCTTTACCATTGAATTCCTTGTGTGCTAATACCTACGAACACTTTCTCTGAGAAAACATCGTAGCTGCTAACATTTTTTATTAAAGGAAAATTTTTCTTTGTTTCAAAAGTATGTGCACACTTAGCAAAAAACAAAAATATAACCGANGTCGCTGACAGCCTGACAGTTGTTCACAGCCTTACAGCTACATTGATGAGCTTGCAATTTCTAGAAATTGAGAATCGGCCGTTGGATACAATATGCAACGCCGATGAAAGCGGTTTCGTGAAGGAGTTACATTCGGCCAGAACCCTAGCTGTAAGGGGTCAGAAGAAGGTGGAAAGAGTTGTACAGTCTGTTTCGGCAACATCTCACTCTTTCACTGTTGTGCCAACCCTATTTGCCGATGGTCATTTAGCAAAAAAACTTCATGTTGTAATGCAGGTTGGTGTTTTCGAGAAAATATGTGTAAACAAACTCACATTTCTGAAACGGTTGCTCTAACAGGAACCTAATGGACGTTTTCCGGCTGAAGGTTGTTTCCGCGCTTCGAACTTGGAGATCAGGGCCAGTACCACCCACATGATGAGCAAAGAACTTATGCTGGATTGGGTTAGATCACGCGTTGGATCGACGGACTTGCCTTCAACCCTTCTAATCGTCGACTCATGGAGCTCGTTCGAGGACCACGAAGCGATTCAGGGTGCTTTACCAACTGGCAAGGAGGTGAAAGTGCTCAACATTCCACCGGGCGCAACCTCCCATATTCAGCCTCTCGATGTATATTTTTTCTTACCATTCAAAGCTATGTATAAGCGTATTGTCTCTTTCGTGATTGCTCATGATCTGGACTTCCAGGTCAGTAATCGCAACTCCATAATTCGCCTTACCTCACTGGTATACTTCTTGTTTAGCGCATCTAGGTTCAAAAAGTTCCTTTCTCATTCATGGTATGCAGCAGGGTACCTGGATAGAGACCCAGGTAAATTCGAAACTCCTGTTCAATATTGTTTCTCATCTCATCTAGACGGGACCTGTGAGACTGATGGGTGTGATGAATTAATTTTCATACGTTGCTCTCATTGTGAGAGGCTTTTCTGTTTTAAGCACTTTGTGTTGGATTACCATATCTGCTCGTAAAATGTTCATCTATCTTACTTTTTCATAAAAATGTCAGTTGTATTGTACCAGTTCACTTCCATCACTTGCTAGTGGAAGCATTACGTCACTCAAAAGTGCTATGTTCTGACGGGTTGCCCACCCGCCCTCTGTCGAAATAGCATGGAGCGCGAATTTCGTAACCAAATCTTTTAGTGCAAGGCGCAGACGGGTTCTATGTGCACTCCTATTCAGTCTGTGGAGGCGATAAGAAATTTCACTTGTATTTTCATTTTTGGTGCTGCGTAAACATGAAGGAGGGCTGTAGATAGCCTATACGACGCGTAAATATGTTTTGCAAGCGTTTAGGGCACTTTTTATAAAAAAGCAAAACAAGCAGATGCATAAGGATTCGAACCTCCGCCTACCAGTCCATTGTCCTCTCAACTCGGCCATCCGTGCACATCCCGGTACTGCTTGGGCCGCATATAAAAACAGAAAAGTGACAAGACACCCGAGGGAGAGGGGGCCCATAATTTAGTTCCCAGAATCGTTTCGCAGATTTGGAACCCAGATTTTAAATCAGCGTATAGATGAACTTACGTTGGTATACATCCCATCTTGAAAGGCCACTGCGACCTGTATCCTTCCCTTGTATACCAACAGACTGGCCTATGGAGAACCCCGTCAAGGGAAAAGTCACATCCCAAAACCAACTTTGAAGCAGCTGCATCACTGAGTGAAGGGGTGAGCAGAACTGTCGCTCGAATTCTGTGATCAGTATGCGAGGGCTACCATGATATGGGCAACATCAATAATTTGAATCGGTGTCCTAGAGGAAGTCCCAAGAGGTTGCTCATCTGTTGAGGAATATCTACATCATAGTTGTATGATGTCACTGAAAAACATAATGGAAGAGTATAGGGTGGGAATTAGATTAGGCTGGACAATACGAAATGTCATTTTTAGTCGATAGTTAATTTTACTTCAGAAAGATTAGCAAAGCACATCAATCCATAATACATTTTCCATCTAGATCAATGACGTCTCTGCAGCAACCGCGCGAAGAATGGATGCTATCCTCGAGAGCTCTTTTTGCGACTCGAAGAATCTGGGCACTCAAATCTTAACATCGTTGAGGTTTTAAAGTTCTCCTCGGCAGCAGCGTAGCAGTCCTGCCTAGTCCAACTAAATGGTAATCAGGCGGCGCATGATATAACTCATATGGAGCATAACGCATATTTCACTAGGTGAGTTCCGCGATTTGCTGCTGAACCGGTTTCGCGACATGAGGTCTTGCGTTGTTGTGCGAGAACTTCATAGTGACTGAATTGACCTCTTGACAATAA